GTATGTATCCAAAGATTGAGGGGAGGTGTGTACCCATTGACCCAGCAACCGACTGTCTGATAATCTGTCACGTGTGTAAAGATTTGGCTACAGCTGTGCTCGTTGCAGCATTACTTGCTAACACAGAGGCAAGGCACCCCTGAGGGACTGGAATGCCCAATGGAAAAGAATTCACACATTAATGAATTCTTGCTTCAGGAGGGAGTGTGCTCTGGAAGCATTTACATGTTTACCACAGAAGCGGATTTGCTGGGGGCATTAAGCATGGTCTCAGTTTTCTTAATAGAAATATGCATGTAAGAACATGGATATCCACAGCAGCGTGGAAGAGAGACAGGAAGGAGATGCATTTCCCTAGGAATGTGGGGATCTGCCTCGTTTTCCCTTTTAATTTGTTGGGGGAGAAGATCTAGAAGTTTAACCCGGCATACAAAACACACACCCTACCAGCGAGCTGTGCCCCACTTCCTAGGTTCTATTTCATGGACTCCTCTGGTGACTTCCTGTTTAAACCCCTTGCCCATAATGTGTCACTTTAACTGCTCAAAAAATTATTGTTTTCAAAAGGTGAATGGGAACAGAAATGCAATGGGAACCATGGGCAATTAATGCCGTTTTGGGGGCCAGCTGGGCTGCCTTCTGAATGGCTTGTCTTTTTCCACTTACCTTGTCTCCCTCTCCTCACTGTTCCTCTTATTCATTGCTATTCCTGCTTCCTCCTGCCTTCTGCTGCTTTGCTGTCAGATCCTGTTCTGAAGTCCACCTTTTGACTTTGATTCTTTGGTGCCATTGCATACTCATCTTAGTCTCTGGAATGTCTTTGTGCTCTGGATATACCTTAGACAGAGATTCCAGGCGTGGTTCAGGTTCTCCAGCCTATCTCATCCCCATCAGGCTGGCTCACCATCCAGTCCACAGATGTGTTGGATCAGACCCGGTTGAGTGGCTCAGTTTTAGTCAGACATGGTTCAATCTTGGGCTGCGGAAGCCTAGCTCTTAACTGGGGAGTAGGGGTGAGACATGTCCCTTAATGAGGCTCTGTTGTCCCAATGATAAATATCTGTAACACAGCATCCCAGCAAAATACTCTGAACAATCCACATCCAAAATACTCACATGGGAGCCAGATCCTGTGTCTTATTTTGTTTTGTTTTTCAAGATCAGGTTTCTCTGTAGCTTTGATGCCTATTATAGAACTCACTCTGTAGACCAGGCTACTTCTGAACTCACAGAGATCCATGTACATCTGCCTCCCGTGTACTGGGATTAAAGGCATGAGCCACCACGACCTGGCCCCTATGTCTTTAATTTGTGAAAGTGTATAGCATGTGTGTGTGTGTGTGTATGCACATGAGGCAGAGGTTGACACTGGGTGTCTTCCTCAATATCTCCACCTTACTTTTTGAAGCCGTTCTCTCATCAAACTGAAACTCACTGAATTTGTAAGACTTTCTGGAGTGAGCATGGGGCTTTGCTGTCTCCACCTCTCCACTGCTGTGATTACAGGCTGCATCACCATGTCTGGTTTCATGGATGAGTGCTGGGGATCCAAACTCAGGACCTCATCCTTGAGTGGCAAGCATTTTATCCCTGAACCATCTACCTAGTCCAGCATTTATATTCTCTGCTTTGAGTGAATAAATTGTTCACTTGATTTTGACTGATCTTTGCGTTAGTGTCACAGCTCTGAGAATTGATAGTAGGGTATTAGACCTATCTAACCACACACCTAACTAATTTAGGCTTCATTCAGGCTATAAACAAGACAGACAGAGGAATCATGATTAGACTGTAAGACAGGTTAGGTGAGATTATCAGTGCAAACCCAGGATAGTAACCAGTATTGTTTTTCATACTGGGCATTCCTACATGCCAGCCAGTGGGATTCACAGGCCTTATGGCTTCTCAAATAGCATAGCTGTGAGGTCAGTATTATTATTATTACTGTGACAGGGATGGAGCGGCAGAATCAGAGTATTAACCTAACTTTCCTAAAGTCACACAGGACTGGAGAATACCTGGGTTGTAACTCCACCCAGCATTTGCTAACGCCAAGTCATCTGGAGGTCACTGCCCATCCATGCCACCCAGATGCTCTCTCCAAATCTCTTACTTTGGAAGAGCGTCCACCTCATCTCGCTGAGTTCTATTGTTCCATTCAGAGCAAGGTGGGTTTCTCTGGTCCAGTCTCCCTTGGGCTGGACAAGTCATGCATCCCTGATAATTTGGGTTCTTTTGTTAACAAAATACCACATGGGCTGAGAATGTATTAACTCATCAGTCAATGAGAAGTGTACTTCCCACAGGATTCCCATCCATCAGGGATGGGATTTTTAACTCCTGCCTGAAACAGGGTAACTGATGTACCATGCAATGATTTTCCAAGATATTGATCTACAGGAAGCAGGGAACAAATAGGGAGAACTCTAGGTTTGCCTAAGGGTACTTCCTAGAGAGAAGTTCCAGGATGCAGTCAAGGGAGAGAGAATGTGAGGAGACTCAGATGGAAGATACAGACTCTGGGGAAGCAAAGATACCAGAGGATCCCCGGTCAGAAGAGTAGAGAGAATTGATGAAAAGAGAAAATGTGATATGTGTAGAGCATTAGATCTTCAAGAGATGAGGGGTCAGCCTGCCCATGTGGGGAAGACCAAAGCTTGGGGAAAGATAATCCCAAAAGGTCGAGAATAATCTTGGTAGGCATTTGCCTAGCATCAAGTGCACCATTGCATTAGCTGGACTGGAAATACCCTTGGAAAGAAAACAGCGTGTGAGTATGGAAGGGCTTGTGTGATGATTGTAATGATGAGCCTGAGACCAAACATTGTTGTGCATGACATAATGTTAATAGAGATAATATACTTAACTGCAAAAAACGTTGGGATACTGGAAACCAGATAAGGACATCACTGTGACACTTTCTATTGGACAATACACTAAAGGTCTTAGCCAATGAGAGAAGACAAAGAAATAAAAGATATCCAGGTCACAAAGACAGGGAAAAAAACTACCTTATTTTCAGGGGATGTCATCATATGTGTGGGAAATCTTAGGGAATGAAAGCTACTTTTACTTGATTACTGAGCTTAATAAAGTTGTAGGACACAAATTAATATACAAAGGTGAGTTGCTGTCTGTACAGAAGTGACAGAAAACTGAAAGTTGGAATTCAAAATGTCTTTAAAAGAACTTAATACTTAAGGACAAATCTGAGCAAAAAGGTACCTGGTGCTTTTGAAAGTAGAAGGAGCTGGAGAAGAGGCTCCACAGGACATAAGATCCTGTCCTTTTCTTACAGAGGACTTGGTATTGGTTCCCAGCATCCACATTCAGCAGCTCAGAACCACCTGTAACTGCAGAACCAAGGGCTCCAATGCCCTCTTCTGGCCTCTGTGGGCACCTGCACTCATGTGCACTTGTACACAGATACACATTTAATTAAAAAGAAAAAGAAAACTATAAAATGCAATAGAAAAATTAAAAAACTTAATAAACGGAGAGACATACCATGTTCATAGATGAAAAACCATACTCTGGACAACAGTCAGTTTTCCTCAGATTAATTTCTAATATGGGGCAATCCCTGATTAGAAATAGCCAAAACAGCCTTTACAAGAAAGAATCAAGCTTGAGACTTGCTATGAAGCCACAGTGACCCTGACAGTGTGGTATGGCAAATAGATTGATATATTCATGGGGCAGAATACAGTCCGAGTTTTCCTTTTTGATAAATGGAAGAAATTACTATCTGTCTCGAAAGGATAAGGCATGGTTCATGGTTTGTATAAAATAAAAAGTTAACCTGTAGTGTGTCCTGTGAGATGATGATGTGTCCCGTGAGATGATGATGATGTGTCCTGTGGGATGATGATGTGTCCTGTGAGATGATGATGTGTCCTGTGAGATGATGATGATGTGTCCTGTGAGATGATGATGTGTCCTGTGAGATGATGATGTGTCCTGTGAGATGATGATGATGTGTCCTGTGGGATGATGATGTGTCCTGTGAGATGATGATGTGTCCTGTGAGATGATGATGTGTCCTGTGAAATGATGATGTGTCCTGTGAGATGATGATGTGTCCTGTGAGATGATAATGATGTGTCCTGTGAGATGATGATGTGTCCTGTGAAATGATGATGTGTCCTGTGAGATGATGATGTGTCCTGTGAGATGATGATGATGTGTCCTGTGAGATGATGATGTGTCCTGTGAAATGATGATGATGTGTCCTGTGAGATGATGATGATGTGTCCTGTGAGATGATGATGTGTCCTGTGAAATGATGATGATGTGTCCTGTGAGATGATGATGTGTCCTGTGAGATGATGATGATGTGTCCTGTGAGATGATGATGTTGTGTCCTGTGGGATGATGATGTGTCCTGTGAGATGATGATGTGTGATGTGTCCTGTGGGATGATGATGTATCCAGTGTCATGGTATAGTCTGTGGTATAATAAAACACTGTTTAATAATCGGGGAAACAAAGTATTCAATGTGCACAACAGGACATTGCCTCACAGCTACACACAGTTTCAAAATAATTGTGCGGAAAGAGAGAAGTCAGACAAAAGTGCAATTCCATTAATATAAAGTTCACAAGAAGGAAAACATTTGTGGAATAGAAAGCTAATCAGTGATGGTACAGAAAGGGGTTTGGAGGAAAGAACTAAATGAAGCAGATAGAAAATTGGGTGTGGGTTTGTTGGATATGTTCTTTGAGGTGTGTGTGTGTGAGTGTGTTTGTGTGTGTGAACTATGTGTGCACATGTGTGGAAGCCACAAGTTAACATAGCCTTCCTCAGCCACTTCCCACCTTAATGTTTGCAACAGGGGCTCACAGAGTCCATAGTGTCTGCATTCCAACCTGCATGCTGATTCACAAGCTCAGTTAGGGATATTCCAGTTTCTGTCTCCTTAGTGCCTGGGTTTTGAATGTGTGCCATCATACCCTGCTTTGTCTTGATTATAGTGACTATTTTACTGGTGTGTTCATAGGTCAAAGCATCAAACTCTATTCTTATGTCTGGGCTATTTACTGCACACGTTGTCTCAGTGAAGCTATTAAATGATGCTAAGGAAACATTTGGAAATCGGCTCCAAGCAGGTATGAGACAAGCTGGTGTCTTTAACATGCAACTTCCCTTTCCCCGGTCACGTGACCTCTCCTCATGTGGATATCAGGGTCTGCCATACCAACGACCTAAACTCACTTCTCCCAGATTTAAATCTGGAGGAAAGACATGGGTTTATTCTGCCTACTATTCCTCTGGATCATCTCAGATTGGACAGAAGGGATCACGTGTCCCCATATGTTCCAGTTGCTACAGCCTATGTACTGTGATACTCTGACTCAGGCTTGTGTTAATCCTCAGGCTGTCTGGTTCCTGGGGGAGACCTGGGACTCTCATAGCCTCTGGGGCCAGATCCCCAGAGGTCCACTATGCAGGCTAATATGCTCCATTCTCCCTCCTCCTTCCCCCCTTTACCATTCATTTGTGATGAGACTACACTGGGTGACCCTCGTGTTCCCTATATCTGTCACAGACATTTCCCCTTAATTAATTCCTTGCATGTTGAACTCTGTTTTGCAGAAGATCCAAATTAACACAGATGACGGGGAGACAGCTAACACATGTCTGAATTCCATCAAAATTTCTCCAGTTTGCCAAGTGAGTTCTCATATAAATATTTATTATTTGAACACAGACACGGTGGGGGAGGGGGAGTATGCCACAGCCCTCATGTAGCAGCCAGAGGACACAGCTTGCCTGAATCAAGTCTCTCATTTCACCTCAGGTCATTAGGTTTGGCAGCAATACCTCCAGCCACGGAGAAGTTCCTCCAACCCTCAGCCTGTCAATCATTCTGCACATATTCTAGAAGAAGCTATCCTTGAAGACTGAGAAATGTGCTCCTTTTGATTCTTCAGCCTGGTACGTTTTTAAATCTGTCTCGTAGCACATTGCAAACTATAGTGTAATCTATATTGTAATTGCTGTCATCATAACAACCCACTGAGTGGGAGCAACTGTCTTCAGTTCACAGATGAAGAGGCAGAAGTGGGAGAGCGGGGAAGGGGGGAGGCAGTCAGGGTAGTGGCGCAGAGAAACAACCAATAACGTGGAAGAATACGCAAACCTTGAAAGATAAATTAGATAGATGATAGAGGATGTATAGATATGCAGGTGATTGGTAGATAGATGATAACTAGATGTATAGATGGTAGATAGATAAGGATAGGGAGATATAGACAGATTCATTAATTTTCTATAAAGTATTGGCTTACAGGCTAGATGTAGTGGAACTTGCCTTTAATACCAACACTCAGGAGGCAGAGACATATAGCTCTCTGTGGGTTCAAGGCCAGCATGGTCTACATAGAAGGTTCCAGGACAGCAAGGACTACATAATAAAGAGATCTTATTGAAGAAATGCAAAAATAGAATTGGCTACATAGTCACAGACTCTCCGGACCTAAAGTTTGAGAGCTGGAGGAGGCCCCAGAGTTACAGACAGGTATGAGCTGTCATGTGGGTCCTGGGAATTGAGCCCAAGTCTTCCAGAAGAGAAACCAGTGCTCTTCACCGCAGAACCATCTCTCCAGCCCCATTTTATGTCTTTAATTTGTTGGAGAACTTCACACAGAGGATGTCTTCTCCCCAACCGACAAATTTGTATGTTCATCTCATCCAGAAACTCTCCTGAAGACACACTTAAAATAATTTTGGTCAGATATCTGGGCACCTTATGGCCCAGTCAAGTTGACATACAAATTTAAATAACATGTGGATGGACTGCCCAGGGCTCTAAGGACAGTGTGTGACAGGGTTGGAGTCACCCAGTCTCTGAGGCTTTTACAAGACAGCAGTGTCACTCTGTCTGTGGACAAGATCATCAGGGTAGTGACTGCTGTCCAGCCATCAGGATTTCCTGCATCCCTTAAGGATAGCTCAGTGCCAGGCTTAAAGCACAGCCTTATATTATGTTTCACGACCTGCCAGAGAAGGAGGCTGCTTATTAGGAATGGGATCCCAGACTCTCCACTTCCCAGACAATAGTCTTCATACTTCAGGCTCCTTGTAAGGATAGTTTTGTTTTCCCTACACCACCCTGCAGAAACACCTCCTACTCCTGGCTTTGGCCCTCTAGGAACTCCAGGCTGGGCAGGGTCTGTAGCTATCAGAATCTCAACTTTCCAAGGAAAGTTGGGTAAACAGGCATCCTCCACTTGCAAGAGAAGTACCCAGTCAGGCTGTGGTAGTTTGGGTGCAATTGGCCCCCATCATCTCATAGGGAGTGGCACTATTAGGGGTATGGCTTTGTTGGAGTGGGTGTGGCCTTGTTGGAGGAAGTGCGTCAGTGTGGAGGCGGGCTTTGAGGCTCAGGATACCTCCCAGTGTCTTAGTCGATTTCCTGTTGCCTGCAACATGTAGGACTCTCAACTACCTCTCCAGTACTAACTACATCTGCCTGCACGCCACCATGCTTCCCGCCATGATGAGAATGGACTGAACCTCTGAAACCGTAAGTGAGCCACCCCAATGAAATATTTATAAGAATTGCCCTGGTCATGGTGTCTCTTCACAGCAATAGGAACCCTGACTAAGACACCAGCTTTCCACAGTCCCTCTGAGCAGGCAGGGGACCACACGCTGGGTGCGGGAGGCCAGCAAAGCACTTGAACCCCGATAGCACATCAGTTAGCCTTCATCTGCCTCCCACTAGCTGCACGGGGTGCTTCTGTGTGTGCAAGGGGCAACTTTGTTGAGGGGATTTGAGTTCCTCATTTCCTTTCTCTCTTTAATTCTCAGCAGTATCTGTTCCTCCATCCATGGCAGGTTCTGAGCATCTCAGACAGGCATCGATATTGACAGATGGGGCCCCTGGCCCTGGCAGGGAGCCCTATTAGAGAAGAGGAGCCCAGTGAGCTCATTAGGACGGCTACTCAGAGCCCTTCGGCAGCCCCAATTACTTGGCCTGGGCATCATGCATATGGAACGGTGAGAGGATGGCTGCGTCTGGATTCGGGTTTCCTCATGCAGAGGCAGTACAGGATAGGGTTTTAAAGTTAGAGATTTGGAGTTTGAACCATCCAAGGTGCATTGCAAGTACCCCGTTCCATTCCTATGGCTGTGTTAAAACACTCTCACCCCAAAGCAGCTCAGGGAGGAAGGGTCTGTTTCACCTTAGTCCATCATCAAGGAGAGGTAACGTGCACTGTTCAGAGCAAAGAGAAAACGTAGGGACCCATGCTGTCCATTTGCCTTCTGCTGATTCCCAGCTAGCTTTCTTCCCTCATGAAGTTCAGGCCTTACCTCACAGTTCACATTCAAGGTGGGTCTTCACACCTCAGTAATGATCAAGACAATCCCCCACAGACATGCCCACCCCCACAGACATGCCCACCCCCACAGACATGCCCACCCCCACAGACATGCCCACCCCCCACAGACATGCCCACCCCCACAGACATGCCCACCCCCACAGACATGCCCACCCCCACAGACATGCCCACCCCCACAGACATGCCCACCCCCACAGCCATGCCCACCCCCACAGACATGCCCACCCCCACAGACATGCCCACCCCCACAGACATGCCCACCCCCCACAGACATGCCCACCCCCCACAGACATGCCCACAGGCCAGCCTGACCTAGATAATTTCCCATTAAGACATTTCCCAGGTGATTCTAGGATATAGAGAGTTGATAGTTAATAGTAATCAGATCAACAGAAAGAAGATTTAAAAGAAAAGGAAGAAAGATGGAAGGCTGTGGACAGCTTCAAGCAGAGAAATACACATGTCTCTGGAGTCTAAAGGAGAGAAGGAAAAGATGAGATAAAGCATGTGCCTCACATGCTCTGAGCTGTGTGACATCTGCCCCCTAAAATCACTGCAAGGTCATGTGTTTATGAGCTCGTAGTCAAGTGTTTGCTGCACAAGGAATCCCTGACATGGGCTGCCCTTATCTTTATTGGGGTCTTTTATAGCTTCTGTTCTCAATAGTCTACCCTTTGCCCTTTGGTTCATTCAGTATTTATACAGCATTAGCTAGGCTTCCCTGGTGCTTATGAGTCCTGAGTCCTGTGCTAGTTGCTTTGTTTGTATGAAATCATCCTTCGGGGTTTCCCCATCTTCTGAGAATTGCACGATTGTCACATACAGGGAAGGAGCCCGGGATAGGAAAGTTACCCCAGGCCACAGCGGTAACAGCAGGGCTGACATCTAACCACTCCAGCCTCCTTGTTTTATGGTTCACGAAACTGAGGTTCAGAGAGGCCTAAAGCCTTGCCAGAAGGTGCACAGCAAGTTAGTGTCTAAGCCAGGATGAGAACTAGTGGCGGGATCACAGCTTTCTTCTCTCCTGCTGTATCTGGCCTAGCAGCTCTGCTTTCCTGATCAGACAGGATCCCCAGGTGAAGACTGGCTTATCTCCTCTTCTGTTTTAGTATTTCATTACTAATTTGTGTGTGTGTGTTTGTGTGTGTGTGTGTGTGTGTGCGCACACGTGCATGTGAGCATGTTCAGCTGTGTGTGCCACTGCCAACGTGTAGAGTTCACAGGATAACTGTTTGGAAGCTGGCTCTTTCCTCCCTTGTTTATGAGGCAGTGACTCTCGTTATTTCTGTTCTCCAGTCCCTGTCCCACCCCCATCCTGCTATGGGAATGCTGGGGCTTTGGATTCTGTGTGAGTTCAGGTGCATAGGTCACCAGGGTGCTTATCCCAAAGGAGTGAATTTCTCCTGGTGACATTTGAAGTGTCCATATTGGAAATGCTTCACTGTGGCAGTGGGATCTTCCTAGCCCCTCTCACCTTCCACCCAACATTTATCTCCTCTTGATAGACAATTCCAGAGACTTTGTTTGATGATGGTGACACAAAAGTGAACTTGTGTAGGACTTTGTTCCTGTCCCATGGGAAGGCAAAAAGTGAATAGACATTGACAATTGCAGTGACACGTGTCATAGCATAGGTATGGAATAAACTTCACTGGGGGAAAGCATCCTGAACACGTATTTTCTAAATATTTATTTATTTATCTTTGGTTTTTCTTATCTTTTTCCTTTTTTAAATTTAAATTAGAAACAAGCTTGTTTTACATGTCAATCCTAGTTCCTTCTCTCTCCCCTCCTCCCCTGCCTCCCATCAATCCCCTATCCCATACACTTTATGCTCCCCAGGGTGGGTGAGGCCTTCCATGGGAGATCTTCAAAGTCTGCCATATCATTTGGATCAGGTCCTAGACCCTCCCCCATGTGTCTAGGCTGAGAGAGTATCCCTCTATGCAGAGTGGGCTCCCAAAGTCCATTCACATACTAGGGATAAATACTGATCCACTACCAGAGGCCCCATAGATTAACCAGACCTCCAAACTGACATCCACATTCAGGGTGTCTGGAACAGTCCTATGCTGGTTTTCTAGCTATCAGTCCGGGTCCATGAGCTCCCCCTTTTTCAAGATAGCTGTTTCTGTGGGTTTCTCCAGCCTGGTCTTGACTCCTTTGCTCATCACTCCTCCCTGTCTGCAACTAGATTCCAGGAGTTCTGCTCAGTGTTTTGCTGTGGGTGTCTGCTTCTGCTTTCATCAGCTAATAGATGACAACTCAGGATGGCATATAAGGTAGTCATCAATCTCATTATTGGAGAAGGGCATTTATGGTAGCCTCTTCACTATTGGTTAGATTGTTAGTTGGGGTCATCCATGTAGATCTCTGGACATTTCCCTAGTGCCAGATTTCTCTTTAAACTTATAATGGCTCCCTCTATTGTGGTATCTCTTATCTTGTTCTTCTCTATTTGTCCCCTGACTCAATCTTCATGCTCCCTCATGTCCTTCTCTCCCCTTCTCTTCTCCCCTTCTCTTTCTCCTACCTCCCTCTCCCCTCCCACTGCTCCCAATTAGCTCAGGAGATATTGTCCATTTCCCCTTCTCTGGGGAACCATGTATGTCTCTCTTGGGGTCTTCCTTGTTTCCTAGTTTTTCTAGTAGTGTGGATTGTAGGCCAGTAATCCTTTGCTCTATGTCTGAAATCCATATATGAGTGAGTGCATACCATGTTTGTGGTTTTGTGACTGGATTACCTCACTGAGGATGGTTTTTCTTAGTTCCATCCATTTGCCTGCTAATTTCAAGGTTCTATTGTTTCTTTTCTGTTGAGTAGTACTCCATTGTGTAAATGCACCGCATTTTCTCTCCACTCTTCTGTTGAGGGGCATCTAAGTTGCTTCCAAGTTCTGGTTATTACAAATAATGCTGCTGTGAACATGGTTGAACAGATGTCCTTGTTGTATGAATGTGCATCTTTTTGGGTATATGCCTAAGAGAGGAATTGCTGGATCTTGTGATAGACTGATTCCCATTTGCCTGAGGAACCACCATACTGATTTCCGAAGTGGCTGTACGAGTTGGCACTTCCACCAGCAGTGGAGGAGTGTTCCCCTTTCTCCACATCCTCTCCACCACAAACTGTCATTGGTGTTTTTTATTTTAGCCATTCTGACAGGAGCAAAATGGTATCTCAGAGTTGTTTTGATTTGCATTTCCCTGATGGCTAAGGATGTTGAGCACTGTCTTATGTGTCTTTCAGCCATTTTAGATTCCTCTATTTAGATCTATTTAGTTCTGTACCCAACTTTTTAATTGGATTATTTAGTGTTTTGGTGACTAGCTTCTTGAGTTCTTTGTATATTTTGGAAATCAGCTCTCTGTCAGCTGTGGGATTGGTGAATATCTTTTCCCATTCTGTGGACTGCCGTTTTGTCTGTTGACTGTGTCCTTTGCCTTACAGAAGCTTCTCAGTTTCAGAATGTCCCATTTATTAATTGTTGATGTCAGTGTCTGTGCTACTGGTGTTATGTTCAGGAAGTGGTCTCCTGTACCAGTTTGTTCAAGGGTACCTCCTACTTTCTCTTCTGAGAGATTCAGTGTGGCTGGATTTATGTTGAGGTCTTTGATCCATTTGGACTCAAGTTTTGTGTATGACAATAGATATGGATCTATCTGCAGTCTTCTACACGCCAGCATCCAGTTATGACAGCACCATTTACTGGAGATTCTTTCTTTCTTCTATGTATAATTTTAGCTTCTTTGTCAAAAATCAGGTGTTCATAGGTGTGTGGGTCTATATCAGGGTTTTCAATTAGATTCCATTGGTCTACCTGTCTAGTTTTGTGTCACTACCAAACTGTTTTTAGGACTATAGTGTTACACCCTTCCCCCATGGGGGTCTGCCTGCTGATGGCTTGTTACTAGGAGCTTTTAGCTAAACACTTCTTGTCCCCTCCTCCTAGTAAGGCCTGCATGCAAGTTCCTGTTTTCCATCCATCCTTTGTCTAAATGCTAATTCCTGTTTTGGGCTCACCCTTTGCAGGAGGGCCCTGGGAACACAGGCTTCTACCTTGGTGATTTTCCATCATGCCTGCCTTTGGTATTTAAGGCTCAATTTTTGTAATGATAAACACCATTCTCCTTGTAAGAATGAGCCACTGTCTTTGTCTTCATTTTACATCCTTAGCCCT